AAGTCGTCGAGGTCAATGCCAGAGTCGTCGGGCTCAATGGCAGAATCTTCGGGTTCAATGGCAGAGTCATCGGGCTCTATGACAGAGACGTCGGGCTCAACGGCAGAGACGTCGGACTCAATGTCAGTCGTCGGAGTCAATGTTAGAGTCGTTATGTTCAACGCCAGAGTCGTTGGGCTCAATGCCAAAGTCATCGGGCTCAATGCCAGAGTCGTCGGGCTCAATGATCTAGAGTCGTCAGGCTCAATGTTAGAGTCATCAGGCTCAATGGCACAATCGTCGGGCTCAATGCCACAATCCTGGAGCTAAATACTAGCGTCATCGGGCTCAATGCCAGTCGTCGGGGTAATGCCAGAGTCGTCAGACTCAATGTTAGAGTCATCGAGCTCAATGCCAGTCGTCGGGCTCAAGGCCAAAGTTGCCGAGCTCAATGCCAGAGTCGTCGGGCTCAATGCCAGAGTCGTCGGGCTCAACACTGGGGTCAAGCTAAGAGAAACATTCAGAACCCAAGACCTGTCGACACTACAAATGGAGTACATGTTAATATGGGATATCGGGAAGAACGAATGAACATGCAAATATGATCACCCAAGAAAGTGTAGAAATATTCTTAGTATAGGAAAATGTTCCATAAGCTACCAATGTTTCCACCGAGAACTTTGTAAGAGCTCTTTAAACAAGAGAAATGGAAATGAAAACCAAACTAACAGCACTCTGAAAACAGCCGCTACCAGAAATTTTAGCCAAATATCCCCAGTTTGCTAACTGTAGGTAGTAACTAAGTGATGGGGGGTAGAAATAGCCGAAACTACTCTATCCATTTGAGATGTATTTCTTTCTTGTCTCAATAAACATACTTGAACTTGAACTTGAACTAAGTGATTGTAACCTATCCACCGCTGCCCACTAGATGGGGGGCGGTGTGCAGGACAAACATATCAACTGTGACACTAGCTCTCCACATATGTCAGTTGCTTAATTTAGAAACTGTACTTGTGGTCGATCTCGAACCCATTGTTGATGTGACGACTTATACTGAATTTTGTAACTAGCTCATCAAGATTGTGACTTGCTTAGCTAAATGAATTGTGGGGTTCAGTCCCTGAGCCCATTATGTGCCTCGGTAACCCCTTCCACTACCTCCCACAAGATGGGTATGGGGTGCATAATAAATAAACTAAACTAAAACTCTGAAAATAGCCACAACTTTATACCAGGAGGAATTTCAAGCAACAGAAAGAGGAGAAAGATGTCAAAAATTATCCAGACTCTACCACAAACTCTGTGTAATGCTAGAAAGGACACAAGCAAAGTGGCCCCTTTACCAGAACCCCTAGATATTAACAGTATGTAAAACAACCGGCGCTTACACAAACATGATAGCATCAATTATATTTGCCAACGTCCATGTATAAAAACGCGCAAATAAAGAAAAGTCCACTTTATGGCTGGCGTTCTAAATCAGGCGAATGTAGTGTTTGCAACCCCAACTGAAACTCACACAAAATATTTCTATGATACTGATATGTTGATACTGGAGTACAAACTTTTCAGATGTGACAGGAAACATAGGCTACAAGGTGGGGTCAGCCAGTACATCAAAGATACACTCATTTGCCCTGAGCTGCTGAACACCACAAACAATATGCTGGATCAAAACAGAGATCTTAAATGTCATTATTGTCCTTGTATATAATTCACCAGAGGCAAATCCTTAATAGTTTAAAGACCAAGTAATGGAAATATAATACTGTTTAGAAAACAAATCCAGCCCCAAACATTATCTTGCTTGGCGAATTCAACCTACGGCACCTAAAATGGAAGAACGTAGCAAATACAGTATATCCGAGAGAATGCCGGGGAAGAAGCTTAAATGAACAGTAACACACAAATGCTTTACTACTGATGTGCAACAGATTTGCACTAAAGCAACAAATAGTAGACCCAACTAGATGAGATAACATAGACCAAATTTTCACAAATAACGATAAATTGATCAGGAACATAATGATTGAAAATACCTTTTACACAGAACACAATTTAATTGAACTTCAGACAAGCATGGACACTAGATCTGCGCAGCCAGTCACAAATTCAAGAGGTTGGGAATTCAGCAAATTTAATTGTATTAATAAACAGATTAACTGGGAACAAATATATTATATATACTATAACCTCACAGATAAGCGGGAAAGAACAACTAGAAAATGTAAACCCAAACTAGTGCCTCGAGAAAATAAGCTCAGGCGCACTAAAAATATGCTCGGCCGCATACCTCTAAGAAAAAAGAGGAAGAGATGCAGACTGGAACGAGACCGACGTTCTCTTTATTGACGAAGAAAACTAATCGCAGAACAACTTGAACGCCCCACACTATCTCATGAAAGACAAAGAAGGCAATGGAGTAATAGAAAAAATGAACTAAAGCTACAAGAATAATATGAAATCCAGAAGAGGGAAAGAGCAGAAAGCCGTCAGCGAAATAGAGAAAAATTCAAAATACTTTTCCTCCTACAGGCTGATAGCACTAACATAACACATCATAAAAATCTATTAGTGATAAGAAGATCACAAAACACATAGAATCACAGCGTCTATATAACCCTGGTCAACATGGTTTCAGTTCAGGGTGCCTTTTCCTATTACAATTGCTGGACCACCATGACGTGGCCGTAGATGCCCTGAAAGAAACAAAACGCAGACAAAATATGCACAGATTTCTCTAAAGCCTTCGACAAATGTGACCATGGTGTTATTGCATAAAAAATGCGCTGAAAGGGAATTACTGGAAAAATAGGAAAATGTATCTTCAATTTCCAAACTAACAGAACCCAGTGTTTATTAGTCAACAAAGTAAAATCCGAACCATCTACCATGAAAAGGTCAGACTGCCAGGGGCTGGTATTTCTTCCAGTAAACTCATTTTCATTCTCATATCGGACATACACAAGCACGCAAACTACAGGACCGTATCATCCTTTGCAGACGACACTAGGATTTGTATGATAGTTGACAACATAGAGGACACAGCAAACCTCCAAACTTATGTAAGTGAGGTCTTTTGGCTACATACAATAATTTAGTATTTAATGAAGATGAGTTCCAGCTTCTGCACGTTGGAAAAAATGAAAATATAGCAACGGAAACCACGTTCCAAAAGCAGTTAAATCATACCATAGAACGTAAAAGCAATCTAAAAGATTTGAGAGTATTCATAGCTTAAGACTTTACTTTTATTGAACACAATAAAGTACCCGTTACTTTATTATTATCCAACCTGTCATGTAAAAAAAGGAGAGGTTATATAACAAGAAAGTTTCAAACAAGGGATGCGGAGCCAATGATGAAACTTTTAAAGAGACAGTGCTCTCTAGAGTGGAATACTGTTGCAAAATAAAAGACCCTCTCAGAGCTGGAGAAATTCCTAACATAGAAAGCGTGCAGAGAGCCTTGATTGCTAGAATCTACTCAATAAACCATCAAAATTACTGGGACCAACTAAAAATGCCTAAATCTATAGTCTCTAGAGCGAAGGCGTGAGAGATACATAATAATTTACACGTGCAAAATATTAGAGGGGCTGGTCCCAAACCTGTACTCAAAAATAACATCACATGAGACCAGAAGGCATGGCAGGATGTGCAGAATACCCCTGATGAAAGCAAAGGTGCAACAGGTACTCAGAGAGAGAACTCCATCAACATAAGTCGCATGAAACTGTTCAACACGCTTCCACTACACATATTGAGCAAAACTGGCCGACCCCTCACAGTGTTAGAGAGAGAACTAGATAAACATCTCCAAAAGGATACTTGATCAACCAGGCTGTGATTGATACGTCAGACTGAGAACAGCCGCATCTAACAGCCTGGTTGACTAGACCATCAACCGGAAGTACTGATCAGAGACCGGGCCGCAGAGATCTTGACCCCCGGAATCACTGCAAGGTTAAGGTGACTCATTTAAATTATTTTGCAACATACTAACAGGTCTGGACACACACTTTGAAAAACTCTGGGCAAGTGGATTTGACGTAATTACTACAGCCGGCTGACGTGAATAATTTAATAATTTATATATATATATATATATATATATATATATATATATATATATATATATATATATATATATATATATATATATATATATCGTACCTAGTAGCCAGAACGCACTTCTCAGCCTACTATGCAAGGCCCGATTTGCCTAATAAGCCAAGTTTTCCTGAATTAATTTATTATCTCTAATTTTTTTGTTATGAAATGATAAAGCTACCCATTTCATAATGTATGAGGTCAATTTTTTTTATTGGAGTTAAAATTCACGTAGATATATGACCGAACCTAACCAACCCTAACCTATCTTTATAGGTTAGGTTAGGTATGGTAGCCGAAAAAGTTAGGTTAGGTTAGGTTAGGTAGTCGAAAAACAATTAATTCATGAAAACTTGGCTTATTAGGCAAATCGGGCCTTGCATAGTAGGCTGAGAAGTGCGTTCTGGCTACTAGGTACGATATATATATATATATATATATATATATATATATATATATATATATATATATATATATACTTTTAGACACACAACACCCACCAGGGGACTTGAACCCTGGCCACCAAGATGGCAGACACGCACTTATACCCACTGCACTACACTCAGAGCCCTAAAGAGGTGGGAATTCTGGGGTATTTAACTCCCAGACAACCCATCCTCTCCAGGCAATGGTATAGTGAGAGGCAATTGACGTTTTCCATCAAGCCCTATTATATGGGAGAACACGTGGTCCATGCTTAATGCACACACTTACCTAAACACGCAAGTCAGAAAGTATACAAACTTTTAGGCACATAACACCCACAGTGTAGCAGTGTAAAATAATAAAATTTACTCCAATTCTTAAACACTGCATTCTAAACTGTCTAGATAAATCAACATAGTTTTGTCTAACATTGAAAATATATTTACAAATAAATAATAAGTAAGTTTAGTATAATCTTACCGTTGATAATGCAATGAGTTCGAGTCAAATCTTGTGAGAAAATATAGGATGTAAATAAGGCCAAGTCTGCAACAATAAGCGAGGACATATGGCACAGCAGACAGAGGCCTTGCATGTCCCGTAGTTCTGGGATGAAAATGTGGAAGAGTACTGTCACTATGAGAAATATGGCTGATAATATCACCCCAACTGACTGAAAATAACTTTTCACAGTCCCTGCCTTGGACTGAGGAACATGGCATGCAAACGCTCCAGTCATGGAACCTGGAAATATATAAATAATTATTGTAGTGAAAATAATTTGCTTGTTACTTACAGTACGGTTGTAATAACAGATATACAGTGCAACTACTCACCTAGTTGTACTTACGGGGGTTGAGCTATGGTTCTTTAGCCCCGACCAGACTGTAGGAACTTGTGCTTATGTATGGAAGACCGCCTCACGTGGTTTTGATCACAGACGTCGATTTGACCGGGCGTTTTCAGAAAGCCCCGTCATTACGTTTCGAATCCTCGAAACTCCCACAAAGTAACCACAAGATAAGATCAGAGGTCATGATTGATCTTGACCTTGATCGACTAAGTCGATCCTGAAGTTAAATTTGAAGTCACCCTTTGCAAGTAACCGCTATATCATGAGATGGAATACAATTCTTGAAACCCATAAAGATGACCTGGACAATTGCGTCTTTGAATACCACCAAGGAGAGGAATACCACCAAGGAGAGAACAAGACAAATAAACATTATGGAATAATTTTACAAAAATCCTCTCTGTGCTCAAAAATATGTGCCAAGATTGAGTGGACAACAGACAAGAACTAGATGACAAACTAGATGAACTTTTTATGAAAAAGACCACACAAAAAATACTTTAACAACTAAGAACTTAGTCTGGATAAAGAATCAGTCCACGAGGAATCATGTGGATTACCAGATATTTCAAAGAACTTGAAATTCAGCTACCAAAGAAATCAGTTCGCTCGAAACACCGTGTCAGAAAATTTGTACAATAAAGATTCGCAGTGGTTTTATGCCTGTATAGGAAGTAAAACCAAGACAAAAGACTTGGTAGTACACTTGAAAGTTGTGATGAAGCAAGTTATATTAAACGATAAAAAGGCAGTCACTACTTCTTGGTGAATTCTTTACATCAGTAGTCATGGTAAACAGATTTGACAATATCTTAATTCCCACACAGTAGATTGAAGGAGGAGAAAATAAGATGTTCAAGAATATTCACATTATGTTCGGAACAGTCGGAAAGAGCACTGACAAACTGAAGAAATCAGAAGCTACAGGTGTGGAAATTTTAGAAATTTTAAGCCCAGGTATGGATAGAACTGTCTCATGAACTGTGTCTGCCACGTCTCTTATTCAGAAAACCACTAAATCAAGGTCAAGTTTCATTAGGTTAGAAAGATGCAAATGTGTGTACCATCTTTTTAAAGAGCAGAAAGAGTTCAGCAGAAAACTACCGACCAATTAGACTATTCTCACATATCTTCAAGCTTATAGAGAAAATCCTATGGGATGGAATCTTTCATTGTCTCACAGTATATAATCCTGTATCATCAACAGAACGTGGGATGGTTAAAATTAATCTTGCTTAATTAACTACATCATATTTTTGGTAAGGTAATCAATAATTCAGACAAAGGACTACCAGAAGATGTTAAGTATATGGACATCTGAGAAGCTTGAAGTAAGGATAAAGATGAAAGACTCTCAAGGAAATTGCAAGCACTTGAAATACATAGTAAAATAGTAGAATGGATATAACAATCATTAAGGCAAAGAAAGCAAATGGTCTTCCTAAATGCAAATTTATTACCAAAGATGTGTGCTAAATAGTGTACCACAATGTTTCATCTTTAAGCCAACGATTTTAGTTACATAAACCAACGACATAGATGCGAATATTACAAACCACGTCATCAGATTTGCAGACGAGACAAAGATTTATTGTAAAGAAAGGAACAAAACGATATTGAGGCCGTGCAAAGCGAGCTCCGAGCTCCACAAGTTGAGAGATTTGCAAATGCTTTTTAATAATGAAAAATATATGTAGGGTATAACATTTCAAATCATAACGATCATGTCATAAGCAAAAGAATGCAAAAGACTTGTAAGGAAAATGACCAATGAATTAAGATCCACTAGTCAATTAACGCTGTTCAACAAGAAGGAACTGCAGTGCAAGGCCCAACCGAACCGTCAAATGATAATTGGACTTCAGAGACAAAAAAGTGGTTATTCAAGTTTGGAAGTGTCCGATGCGCCCCATCAGCACTATTGTTTCCAAGCATGGATACCATATCTTTAGAATAATAAATTTGATTTGAAGAAAGTTTAACTCAGAACAAAGTCATACCAAAACTTAGTCAACTCACATACAAGGAACGGTCGAGGGCGTCAGGAATACTCCTACCCATTTATGACAAGTCTGATTTCATCGAGACATTTAAAATACTAAACAAAATGTAAAATATTATTCAAAACCACTTCTTTATTAGGTGCAATGTAAACCATACAAGGCTTTAAGATCAAGAAGCTACACTGCAGAACAGATAGCAGGAGATGCTTTTTTACCCATAGCGTAGAATCACATACCCACCGAAGCCGTTGATATCAAGACATTGCCACAGTTTAAAGTTCAGCTGGAAAAAACTCTTCAAGAAAATGTTGGAGACCTTTGATAGACCAGCGGCTTTCTGTCTCTGCCAAGCCCACTAGAGATGGTGGCCCTCAGACAAATTCAGGTACATATTGTCTGTTAGCTATGAACATAAACAATCATTAACATAATTATCTAAACTGTCATTTATTAAATGATCCGATATCACCTGTATTCACCCTAATCTCATCCGTTCCACTTGTGTATAGAAATTGCAATGTATTATAATTATTTTTAATTAAATTATTATTATTATTATTATTATTATTATTATTATTATTATTACTAGCTATACCCGCCACGCGTTGCCGTGGCTCAGTCTGGTTAAATGGAAAAGAAAGATATGAGAAAGTGCACGTTTCTAATATGTTTATTTTCACATTGCTTGTTAGTATACAATATTTTTTATTGTTCCATTGTCTGTGGAGATATATAGATTGTCTGGTTTGCCGACTCTAGAACACGCAACACATATTTGTCCACCTGAGACGCAATCCATGTCTAGATATAAACAGCACAATTCTAAAGATTGGCCCTGAGCTTTGTTGATGGTGACTGCAAACGCCAATCGAATTGGAAATTACAATCTCTTAAATTGAAATGGCATATCCGTTGGAATCATAGAAATGCAGGGAATGAGGACATCTTCACCCTTGAAAGGTCCTGTCAAGATTGTTGCTTCTTCGACGTTGGTGATTATTTTTTTTACTGCAAGCCGCTTGCCGTTGCAAAGCTTTTGCTGGTTGATATTTTGCAACATGATAATTGGCAGGCCGCTTTTCAATTGCAGTACGTGCGGTGGTATCCCTGCCAGATCGAGTGAATTAAAAAAATCTGTTGGATAATTCAACGCTTCATCTGCTTTCACAACAGTGTAGACGGATTTGAATGTGTCTGCCTAACTTTGAATGTTAGACTGAATAATTTTGTTAAGTTCGTAGACGTCTTTGTTTTGGCCGCAAGAATAGCTCGTTCACTTAGCTAATCGTGATTCTTATAATTGGTTTGAATATTGGGAAATACTTTTTCAATCAATTCTTCTTTGGACATCACTAAATTACAAAAGTTATGAGTCAATGAAATTCGTCCTGAGGACAGATCAACAGGCACGTTTCCGTTCCCAATTTTCTGAAATTAATCTGAGAATATCTCAATTGATGGATCGTTTTGCGGCTGGACACGCATATTTGTAGTTAATTTTAACGTCTTTACATGGTGCCACAACGTAGAGTATTTCAGGAAAGCATTTATTTCGTCTTCTGGTGTCGCTCGAGGAATTACAGGTAATGTTTACCTCAAATCTTCTGCAAGCAATATTAATGCATTCCCTAATGGTCTGCTGTTTCCACACAAATCTTGCAATGATCTATGAAGAGCATCGAGCGATTTTTTGTGGGCCATTGTGCATCCATCACAAACAATAAGTTTGCAGTTCTGCAATACTTTTCCCATACCGGAGGCTTTGGAAATGTTGCACGTGGGAATTTCAATGAATTGCATGTTCAATGACAGTTTCAAAGCCGAATGTGCAGTTCTTCAACCTGGTAGCAATATCGCAGCTATTCCGGAAAACGCAAGAGCTAGACTATGCCATTTTGAGATCGAATTGATGCCAGAATCAATCTAATTAGGAATGTTTCATCAGTTCCACCTGGCGCATCTAAGAAGATTTCTCCAAGCCCGTTATTGACAGTTTTAATTGTTTGATCGTAAATACCTTTTTCCTCAAGTGTTAGCTTAGGAATATTTGATTGCGCATACGACAAAAGATCACCCGTGTTATAATTTTTTCCATGACGCAATTCTACATCGAACGAAGCAGCAGCAGATAAATTCGATGATGGAATTCCCAATTGATTGAGAACTTTTTTCGCGATTTCTAAGCACAAATCTTCATTCATTATCAACGCTTCGTAGTAAATTTCTGCTGTGAAATCCATATTCATATTTGAAATTTCCTTGCGTATTCGACGGACAATATCTTCAGCCATGTGAAATTTATGCTTCTCCCATAAATCTGTTGGAGATGAAGGAGAGCAGGCGGTCAATATGATGGCAAACTATGCACGAATTTGATTTGGATGTGACGTGTTGGTCGCGTCATTAATGCATACATCCCAGTGTTGGTCGTTCTCCAATAAATTCAGAGCTTAACATACACTACGGAAAGTGGCACGTGAAACACCGTTGACAAATCTCAATTGCTCTTGGACCGGGTACATTTACCAGCAGCATGCGAAGAAAAAAGCATTCATCTTGACTGGGATGCACGGTGTACAGTCTAGTTTTCGTAGTTTGTCTGAATATGGCAGGTTGTCCGTCGACTCGCTCTCCTCGTTTACGTCATCCAAATAATTTTCTACTCGTATTCCATGTGTAATATGTAGGCACTTCCGAATACAGCAGTGTTTTCCCAAACTCGTCATTTTGATATAACGTGAAGAACGCAGTTAACGTTGTAGCAGGTGGATTCATAGCAATTTGTGGTACATATGCAGCTATGAAATAAGTGCGTTGTTCATTTCCTTGTTTTCAAAACAAAAAATACTAACGAAATATTTCAATTCAAACGCAGATCAATCAACACA